ACTTTTTAATGCATGATTGTTGCCAGGAAGTTAGAACCACAAAATTGGAACCAGAAGCAAAACTTAATAGAATTCAGTTTTTCTCTAAGGTACCAATATATATTTTGAAGATAGAAAATAAAAGAGGATTTCATTTTAGATTGTGACAAAAATAAAAAGGTTTGAATAGCTACATGGATATGCCACCCATCCTGCTAAAAAATTCCTTCAATTAATTTTGACAACAACCGTAGTAAATGTTGGAAAGACTAGATGCTAAGTAAACATGGTCAGATAAAACAAACCAACAAGTAATGAATGCATGAACTTTATTTAAGTGGTATTTGAACATGGATATATGGGATTTTAGTCTGCTCACAGTTATTCTAATACATACACCAAACAAAGCAGCAACAACATCAATTCACTATAGTAAGTGCCATCCACCCATGTAGTTTGTAAATTATTAAACAAATGCACCCAAGAGCACTTCAGTAGAAATCACACGACCTAATGAGCTGCTGCATTCTGTACCGGAATCCAGTATCCGACACTTGGAGGTTTGGGAAGATCTCCATGAATCCACAGCCCAGAACATGTCATATGGCCATCAGTGGTACAGATCAACCATCTTCCCCAGCACCAGGAGCCTCTGGAGGAAGGATCGGTCTCTTTTCAGATGCCCAAATCAACAGACATCTCAATGGGGTTTGTTCACTTTGTAAAGATAAACCAAAAAACCAACCAAACTCCCTGACCTTGAGGCAATGCTGAGCCCCTGTGGTTTCCGAGACTACAAGTGTACACAGGAGTAGAAAGCCAGTCTTCCTCCTAAGGAACTGCTGGTGGCTTGGGACTGCTGACCCTGAGAATTGCACACAGCCCAACGTGTAGGCACTATATCATAGGATGCTCTATTCTGCTGACGTCATCCAGAGAAGTGAATCTGGTCATTATAAGAAGATGGAACCCGATCAAGTGTCATGTCAGTTTGCCCAGACCTGCAGTTGACCACTGAGATGCTCAAGGGAAATATAAATGCACATTTATTTTCAACTGTTCAGTGCTGACCGTCCGTCCATCATCCCGTTCCTGTTCTCCGGTCCCAGGGTTTCCTTACTGGCATATTACCATGAAATTAGATCCAGGCCTGCTCTTAGAAAGGAAACCAAATATTCTATTTTATACTGAAATAAAGGCCATCGTGGTTAGCATTGGTCTCGCACTTCTTTGCCAAGCTTCTGAAAAATAAATCTAAGTTCACTTTGAATAGGCAACATGTGTACAAAAATAATTTCTCGTTTTTAGATCAAGTGCTCATAAAGTCTTTAAATTAAGTAATGTACAAATAAACTGTTAGAACTCAGGAGTTCACATCACAGGGTAGAAAGAATTAAAACGGATCCCTCCCAAACAGATTTTTCCCCCCAGAAAATACATAAGGTCAATTGACTTTGAAAAACTTAACATAAAGACCTACAACAAACAAACAGTTGAGGAAGACAAAGCATGCCCGTACTTTTGAGTATGTAAGTGCTTAGAAACTTAACACGTGAAAAATCCCAATGCTTTAAAAATTATTCTGGCAAATAAATTTTGGCAACACATATTACAAAGAACTATACAGTACATAGAAGTGAAAGGCGAATATAAATACAACTTATTTACGTTTTGCTATAGTCATATATTTTAGGCCATATCTACAGCCATGTGGGAAAACCCATGTGGCAAATTCACAGTTACAACTAAGAACGCTGTACTTAAGATAGTCTGTTTCACTATTATTTGCATAATTCCCAGTAAAAGAAGCTTAATACAAGTATGCTTATCTTTATGGATTATAACAACCTCTATCTGAAGTTATACTTCAACATTCTGACTTGAAAAACATAAACACGAATCGGCTCTATCCTTTAGTCAAAGTTGGCTGGTTTAGGGTTTTAATATGTTTTCAAGTGGAGCAGAGCACTGCCCTACCAATTCTTCTCTGTTCAACCTACGATCCATGTCAGTCTATGAGTCAATTCCACCCTCATAGGACTCTATAGGGCAGACTCTATAGGAAATGCCCCCATAGCATTTCCAAAGCTCTGGTGGCGCTGTGGGTTAGGCACTGGGTAGCTAGCCTCAAGATTGGTTGCTTAAAGCCCCCAGCTGCTCTGCAGAAGAAAGAGGAGGCTGTCTGCTCCTATAAAGATTTACAGTCTCAGAAAACTTATACAGAGTCGCTATGAAATTGGAACTGCTTTCCTGGCAGTGGGTTTGGTTGGGCTGGTCTTTGCGGATGCAGACTGCCACATAACTGCACCACCAGGGCTATTTAAACAATGGACAGGAGGCTACATTCTTTCCTGTAATGTTTTTCCTTCTACTGTCCGACTATCTTGAAAAAAGCATTTATTTAGCATTGATTTTTTTAAAAGGACAATTCCTGATTAATTGAGACAATAGAACTCAAATTTTATTTTCTTCTCTTCTTGAGGTGAGAAGATGTGAGTATTTATACTGGGCCTCCTTTCTTCTAATAAACCTTTAACTAAAACTTAAAGAAAAAACAATCAACTCTGAGAACAGAGATGAAGGTATATGCTATGTTAACCTTTTCTTTTTGGTTTATCTTTTATTTCTATAACAAAACACAATGTGATTCTTAACATTCAATATTTTCCCATATCCTATTCAAAAACAAAAAAGCCTTGGTGGTGCTGAAGTATGTACTGGGCTACTAACAGCAAGATCGGTGGTTCAAACCCAGCCAGCATTCTGTAAGAGAAAGGTGAGACTTAATGCTCCCTTAAAGATTTACAGCCTTAGAAACCCTGTGTATAAGGTTGCTGTCCATCAGAATCAACTTGAACGCAGTAGGCTTGGGTATTGGTTGGGTGTGTTATTTTATATTCAAATTATCAAATAGCAATTTAACTTCCACATGCTGACTCTGTTCCTTAGTTTTCCAGGTGAATTATCAACTGTATTTTTCTACTGTCTTTCTTAGTTTCCTCATCTGACAATGACCACTGGTTTGACTCCATCAGAAAACAGTCCTCAGCTTCTCGGTTCAATAATTTAAGCTAAATGGTGAAGGAGCTACACAGGATTGTTCCCTTTAACTTTATATTACTCCCAAATATACAAATATACAATCACATATAATACATTTACATACTATGCAGAAATAAACTGCAGATAAAATTCCAAATACACACTTAGAGATTCACATTTTAACAGTGAAAAAAAACCATGCAGAGAAAAGGAAGTATTTACATTGCTAAATTACATAGAATTATTCTTCCTCGTTAAGTCTTAGGGATGAGCTAAAAAGAAGAAGACGTAAATCAATCTATGCCTTTAGCAACATCATTCACTGTGGTATTGTTTTTACTAACAAAGCTCTCCAACTTGCTGATGCTATATCAAAAGATATATACAGATAGTATAACAAGACACAAACATCTACTTAGAGATAACCAATTAAAACTTTATACAGAATACTTGATACTGTCAGTATTTAACCTTGTGTTGTTTTGACCAAAGGAGTCTTAGTCTATGCATTTTCTGAGGTTAAGGAAGAGTCAGATCTATGTCAAGTCTCTTACCCACAGAAAACAGGAATGGATGATGGCCAGATCTCAGAGACACGGGTGTAACACATGAGTATACTGGTCACAAATACACGCAGGATTTAGTAATGTCACAGGATCTGAATCTATTTCGTTCGCATTGTAACATCTACCAGTAAGTGATCCAGAATAGAACACACAGAAACCAAGACTTTAGTTTTCAGACTTACTCCTTGGTGCAGATGTTAGAAATAAACACTTGCAGATAACTCACAGACGACCTGTCAAAATACTGACTTTGTTTTGAACAACTTGAAACCATGAGGCTGTTCGAGTGAATCAAGAGCAACAAAAGGACCACAAGAAACCCAGAGCTGCCTAGGAGTCTGAAAAGTGAAGCAAAGTCAACACTCTCAGCAGGTGTATTAAAAACCATATCTCATCTGCTCAGGAAGACCGTTATTCACTCCAGACTTGCAATAGCTTCATTCCATGGATCTCTATAGTGAGTGCGGTGGGCCGATCATACACCTAGTAGGTCTTTATGAAACACTACTATGTACGTGGTTACTAATTTTACACCGACTTGTGTACTGATTTAGTACGTCATAGTGTCATGCTGGTACACGTGATTGTTTTGATTGACTGGCTCAGTTTCCCCCACGTGCTCCGTGAACAAACTCCTGCACAAACATCGCCACCCCAGTAAGCGATCAGGGATCAGGCCCACCGTCCACTGGAGGCAAAGCTTCTGCTGAATGAGAAGTTGGTTTCGGAGTTCTTGTATTTTCCCCAGGCACCAAAAGGCACAATCACCGCAGTACTGTTATCTTCTGTTCCGTATTGCATTGCCTACGAGGATTTTGAAGGAAGGACAAGAGAAAGGTAGGAAATTAGAGTCTGGACAAAGAGAAATCTTATGGCAACCCTTTATGCGCAGAGTAGAGCTGGCCTGTCCCGTTGGGGTTTCAAGACTGACTTTTCAGAAGTAGGCCTCCAGGTCTTAATTCTGAGGCACCCTGGTACAATCAACAACTAATATCATCACAAAGAGAAATAATCACTCTCACTTGCACGGCATACACAGCTACTCTTCCGATGATGTCACAACAGTTTGGTTGCCTTAACTCTATCGTAAAACTTATTTTAAACACCACCAAACCTATTGCCATCAAGACAATTTCTCCCTTGGAGCAGTTGGTAGGTTTGAAGTGCTGACCTTACAGTTAGCAAGCAGCCTGATGCCTAGCCCATGGCACTTACCAAATGGCAAAAGCAGTAACATCAGAGATGACCTGAAATAACCATATTAACTAGATTCTATTGTAGCAATTTGGGCAACAGAAACACCAGCTAACTAAGTTGCCTCGCAATATGCAGATCCTGAGGAAGAGACACAGAAGGCCTAAGACAGGGCGTGCTACATGGTGAGGCCTGGTAAGTCTTAGCCTTGACCTAGTATTTCCTCAAGGAATTTAGTCTTAAGAAATGACAACATAAGGAAATGAAGGTAATTAAAGATACAACAAATGACAAGAATGTCTATTATGCTGCTTATAAAATGGAAAGATGGCTATAAAGTAAATGCCCTGCATTAGAAGACTTGTCAATCAATTTTAGGAACTAATTAAAATGTTAAAAAAGCAAATGATATTGTAAGAAGTGCTTCTGATTGTATTTGATACCAAGTGTACTTTAAACCGCCTGACAGCATGAGGCTGAAACGGGAAGGAAAGGTTGATTAAAAATGTCTGGTGGAAAAAAGATTCAATAATTCAAACAGACCTTTACAAACAAACAAAAAACCCAAAATGGGAAATGTTGTACAAAGCACTAATATACTTAGGATATTGGAGTCGCACATAATAATTACAAAAAGGATAAATATGCCAATAAATATTGGGAAAAGTGAAGAGAAGTGATCAATCCCAAAGAAGATATATGAACAGCTAGTGAAGACACAAATATAAACCTATTTTTTCCCCTGCCTCTCCAACTGGAAAAAAGTTGTTATAACACTTTGGAGAATCACAAACTGTGATTCTGTAAAGCATGCGAGTGAGCGTGTACATGGCCATCATATTTCTAGAGGGTGACTTGGGAAACTTATCAACAGCATTGCTGTACTGTGTCTTCTTCTAGCAGCAAGTTTACTCCAAGTATACAGCCTGAGCAAATAGGAACCGAAAAAGGTCTCAAGGAAAGTGATATGCACAAAACGGTGGACAAGGGAATCCTTATCATAGTACAGTGCTCTGTGTAATGTGGAAAATGGAACATGAATGAAGTTTGCTGATTTGAACTTTTAAATGAATTAAAAGTAAAAAGCCAAACTCAATGCTATTGAGTCAACGTCAAAACTAGCTCAGAGCATCCCTTTAGGACAGGGTAGCTCTGCCCTTGTGCGTTTCTGATACAGGAGTGGAAAATCCTGTTTTTCTCCCTCGGAGCAGCTGGTGGTTTCGAACTGATGACCTTGTGGATCACAGCCCAATTCATACACCACCAGGGCTCCTTTAAATGAATGATGGTGCACAATTTTGGTTCTTACTATGATCGACAACTTGGCAGTCATAAATACCACTGCCCTGGTGCATCCGGGCACACATATCTGTAGGACACATAGTTGGAGTTAAGTAAAAAATACTACTCCTCCATGGACCTTGTCAGACACCTGCCTAACACTAATTAATGGATACAAAGAAGCTTCAAAAAGTTCGCAGAAAATTGTAATTCTCCTTTAATGCCACTCTGGCATGAAATTTTTTGAGGCACTCCTGTATAACTTAATAACCAAGAGAAGAGTTATGTTGACACATTTTGCTATTATTATTTCTTATAATCATGTTAAGGAATATATAAAAGCCATAAAATGAAGACAGCATGTCTCCTTGATTTTTCTAATCTTAATTATTTGGGAAAATTGCAGTACTATTTAATGGAAATCTTATCGCATCAATACAAAAATCCTGTACTCTTGGCGCTAAACACAAGATTTCAAAGAAACCTCCTGGTGGTCCTGTCAGGCTGCCTCAGAACCACGTGTCCAAATCATCCCTTTACCCCACTCCCTACTTGGGACTTTGCGAGCAACCGAGCAGGAGGGTCACCTGTTCAATCACCACGTGGGCTGCTTCACTGGGGTCATGGCACTGGCTGATGAAGTCACAAATCTCTTGACTATTCACCATAAAGTTAATCCCATCTGTGGTGAGGACCAGGAAGCTGTCATCAGCATGATGGAGCTGCAACCCGAACCAAATGCACATGATTATAAAGCAGTCCCAGATTTTGCATGATCTTTAGAATGCAAAGAGTTTATCTGTCTTGCTGATTGGCAAGCTGCATGAGAGCTAGTAGGAAAATCCAGCCGTTATAGGTAGGCACTAGGAGTCACTCACCTAACTCTTACTTGCAAACAAAGAGTGGAAGAGGAAAGCCTTTATCTGGGGCCAAAACCGTTAACTTTAGCTGTCAGCTGCTGAGGACCAATGTTCAATTGTGTAGTCATAACACCATGAGAGAAGAAATGTTGAGAGGCAGCTCAGTGCTGTGGGGCTGTTGAGGAGCTTTGTCTCTGTTGCCAGGAATGTTGGGTGTGAAACCTGGCTCTATTATTTGGCTGGCAGAACATTGACCATTTGTCTTCTCTATGGCTTAGATCTTACAAGGAGCTCTGGTAGTGCAGTGGTTACATATTAGGCTGCAATCTGCAAGGTTGGCAGTTCAAAACCACCAGCTGCTCCGAAAGAGAAAGACAGGGCTATCTATTCCAGTAAATAATCTCAGAAACTCACAGGGGCAATTCTACCCTGTCCTATAGGGTCACTATGAGTTGGCATTGACTCGATAGCAGTGAGAGTTTAGATTTGCCTTCTCTGTAAAATGGGGTTCTTGAAAAAACTCTCACATGTACAATACCATCAATAAAGTTGTCATCAGTTGGGTCCACTTCATGGTGACCTTATGTGTGACAGAGTATACTGTTTTATAGGGTTTTCCTGACTGCACCTTTGTGGAAGTAGCTTGCTAGGACTTGCTTTCACAGTGCCATTGGGTGGGTCTGAACTCCCAAACTGCAGGTCCGTAGTCGACAGCAAACTGTTTATGCCACCCAGAGACCTAGTACTAAGACCTGTCTTGGTATTTGTGAGAGTAAATACGTTTAAGTGGGACAAGAGACACAATTCTTCATTCACTGAGGAAAGGTTAGTGGTCTAGACACTGCCATCTTGAAAGCCTACACTAGCCTTGGCCAGCGAAGAAAGTAGGCTCAGAGATTTCAGAGTGACGGGGTGACTTGGGGCAGTGTAGGGCAATGGGGATGCCGACTCTACAAGATGTTACAGGAATAGCAGGAGGGCAGATATGTCGTTTGGTGGAGAAGAGACGTCAGCAAGCCTTCCAAGAAGAAGCAACACTGGAGGAGGGACAAGCAGGGAAAGGAAGTAGAAGTGTTCCGTCTAGAAAGCTTGATAGAAAATGCCACGGCTGGGGCGAGACAAAAACCTAAGCAGACATCATACACCTGGTGTTATTGTTTGTTGCCACACAGCCAGCCCCAACTCATAGCAACATCATTTATAACAGAACACAACGTTGCCTGGTCTTGAGTCAGCTCCAGAAATGGTGGTGTGTTTGAGCCCATTGTTGTCAATAATGAATCGATCACCACAACATATCTTCTCAAAACTCTCCAACTCACTGACCCATAGTGACCCTACACAACAGGGTAGAACTGCCCCAAGACTGTAGCTCTTTATGGGAGTAAAAAGCCTCATTCCCCTCCCAAGGTTTTTGGAACTGCCGACCTTGTGGTTTAAGTCACTGTACCTCTTTTATCTTCCTACATATTGTTCCCTCTTAAATATCATTTTGCCTTCAATGGACACTTCCAAGAAAGCCTCTACTGGAGACAATCCTGCATTCCTTCCTTGGGGCAGGCACTCACGGGTCCTTTCTTACCTTCATCCTTTTTGTTTCCGGTTCTGCTATCACGCCATTGTTTTTGAGATCCAAATCTCCAATACTCCGTGTCATTGCAAGTCTGCCATTTACGTGAGGCTGCCCCAAGCTATTCCAGGATACAAAGCCGCCGCATTTCTTGATCCTGGTCCAGAAAAATTTAAAGGACTGTGATATGCTATGAATACGTCGATGGCGCTGTTAAACATAAGCATTGGACCAGTTTTAAAATGCCAAGTGATATTTCTCTCTTGAGTCGTGAACACCACCCCCATAAATCAGTGGATCAGGGAAGAGAGTACCTTTCTTTTTCGTCTTTTCTTTCTGGAGTGTGGTCAATGGTCAGTTTCATGGGTTTTCCTTTTCTACACAATATAGCCCGGCTGTCCCCCACACTGGCTACAACCAGTTCAATACCGTCTCGCAACAGGGCTACTGTGGCAGTAGTCCCAGAGTTCAGAATCGTTGCTACAAATATCATGAAAAAGAATACAAGTTAGTGACAGTCAAGTGATGAGTGTGCATAAATATATCTGTGTATACATCTGTTTTACAAAATGATAAACTAATGATAAACAAGCATGATAAACTAATGCTGAAATGCATTGTTCGAATTTAACTAGAGCTACACAAATAAAAGGCAAGTGAACTATAAAAGAAAGAGCATGCAAGGAAAGAAAGATCTAATTTGGTAACAAGGTTTCATGCAAACAAACAAAAAAAAAGAGTTGCTAACTGACTTTGGCAAACAATGCATCCCTGTTTCCAAGTGGCATCAATTTAAAAAGTAGAGCTGGCTTGCATTTATCATCAAAATGACATCTTTGAATGCTCATTAGATATCAGGGCTCAAAGCCTTAAAACTCAATGAGATTGGCTAATACGTCAGGATTACTGAAGTCCGCTGATCTTACAAAGGTAAGCAGACTTCCCGATGGAGCTGGAAAGTTTTCCCTTCCTTTCTGACTGTCCCACTGTGAGACTACTCAGTTAATGGGCTAAATGAGATGTGCCAAGGGCATCTCTGTGCTTCAAGGGTTCTATACTTAATATTCTGCTCTTATGTAACTGTTTCAACTTAACAAATGTTCACCAAAAAGACAGAAAGAGAGAGAGAGAGAGAATCCTACAAGTCTAAAGACTTACATTCTTTTCTGTTTATCTTTCTTCTCCCCAAACATGAAACAAAGTTACAGGCATCATGTGTTAGCAGAAAATGCTGAGGGTCCTGAATGTCATTCTAGTTTCCCACAAGCCTGGTGCAGTTTAGCTCCTAGCTCCAGAAGAATCGAATGCAGTCTGTATCCAAACGCAGTAGAGTATACTGCCAAAGAAAGAGCATGCAAAGAAAGAATGTTCTTTGCCAAATTCTACACCTGTGGTCCTGCCAGGGTTCAGAGCATTCCAAGAATATTAATTTTCTCTAAAAATAAAAGTAAACGTTACTGGTCTTGAGGCTGCCAACCGCTTCCTCTGTGAAAATCCAACTGTGCTTTACTTGTTCCGGTCATTGACTCTAACTTCCTTCCTGTGATCTGCCTGGAATTCTTTGCCACTGGTTAAAAGAACTGAAATGCATTGAGCCTTCCCAAAAAGTGAGCACACTGTGAAAGTATGGGCTAAAAGCAAATGGGAAGGAATTTAACACAGAATTTATTTAAAGCAGGTATTGTGTCCAGTAACACCTCAATTCTTTACAGCACCAAAGTGAAATATTCAGGTGATCATTCAAAGATGGTTTGACCCCAACCATCTTTTGAAGTAAAACTCTAGCTCTCGATTTGAATAATGGAGGGTCCATCTTTCCAATTAGCCTTTCTCCCCAAGAGATCATTTTTAGAACTTCTTAAGGAAAAAAGATAAAATGAATTCATCAGTAATTGTAGAGAGAGAAACATATATGTAAAATATTTTCCCAATCAATATATTAAAATACCTGCTTTAATCAGAAAACTAAAACGGAAGAAACATGAATAAGCCCTACTTAATCTTGCATCCCCATGCCGAGTTTTACTTGATTGAGGAAAAGCATTTAGAGTTGTGCTATCTTCCCACTCATCTCTTGGATTTTGGAACTATTGTGCCAGAATAATAGCTCTGCAATGCTAAAATTTCATATATTTGTCACAAACATTTTAATCTAAATCTTAGTGATATTTTATACTACAAATGCATCTTTCTAGCTGAGTTAAATCATCAATTAAACAAGTTAACTTGAGTTTCCCCAAACAACTGAAAAAAGGATTCTTACAGTTTAACAACTGTGAGATTTTCAAGTGATTTAAAAGGCCAGGCAAGAAAATACGGCTGCTACCTTTGCAGGGAGATTGAGTATTCTTCCCTTTGGTTTAAACTAAGTGGCAACTGCAGCTTTAAAAAGATCTGTTTCTAATTGGCCAAAACAAGAGAGTTAAAATTTCCTAAGTGGACAAAATCCAGTTTAGCTGTTCAGTCTTATAATTCACAGCCAAACTACCTACATAGTTAAAAAAAAAAAAAAAGGCTCGGTATTTTACCAAATCAACTTCACAGTTCCAAAATCCCAGGATTTATGGGAAAGTTTTCAAAACTTAACTGCTGATTCTAGAGTGCTAAGCATCTAAGACTATCAATAACTGAATCGGCACTTATTTCCAATTAACATTAAATATTTAACATAGAAGTACAACTTCTCACTTATTTTCCCCCTAACAACAAAACTATAAAGAAACTAAGACATCTTGCAATAAGTTCTTAACACTCACTGGACAATTTCTACTGCAAGTCATCTCAACTAATGGGGCAAAGAGGATGTGGGAACCTTCCAGTAGTCCAGGCTAGGAACCGCTGGACTCCTCCACCTGGGACAAAATTAAGCAGATCTCTCTTTCCACTGAAGCCCAGCATATAGTGTCCACGGGCTCCAGGTCTAGAGCTGCTGACCAGGCACAGTTCTCTGCCACAAATAACACGCACAGAGGCAAATAGGAAATTCACCCAAAAACTTTGCTCAAACATCACAAGCCTGCAGCACAGGGGAGGAGAGAAAGAGCTGCAAAGTAAGGGGAAGGGTTTTTATTTTGCTGTAAATGTCATCAGAAAATCACATCATATTCCACGAGATGCCAATCAATGATTCCAAACTCCATTTTGTTCAATGGATGGTATTTCACAGTTGAGCCCTTCTTAGTGCTTGTTTTCATTTTTTCCCCTCTTGTCACGGAGGCACAGTTCTTCCTTAGATTTTAATGGCTTCTTCAGGCAGACAAAACCATTACATCCACAAGCTACCACATCCAGACACTTGATGTGGGCACACTGAAGTGTATCTGCGTACTCATGTGCATGAGCCCCAAACTAGACTTTATTGAACTGACAAAGAGACGCTGTCAATTTGTTTGGTAACAGTATCTCAGAATTGTCCTGGTAAAGAGGGGAAATCACTGAATAATGAGTAATTGCCAAGCAGTAAATATTTATAGAGAATGTGAATGGCAGTATGCCATCAAATTACTGGGATTGAATGACAGACCAAGAAGAGAATCAAAGCACCTCTTCTATCAGGGACAAGGACTAATACCATTGGTTAATGGTGCCGAGCCCAGGAATTGCATAGCTAAAAAGCATTGTTCAAGTGGGACTACTTAAGTAAAGGTATTATTTACACAAAGGCTCCTGAAGCTCTGGAGCTCGACATCACGGGAACAATTTTACATGGTTCAGAAGGCGGGCATTTCTGCAGCTCCCTCTTTCCTCCAGTGTTACAGGGAGATACATCAAAAGAAAACAAAAAAAGAACAAGATTTTAAATGGTAACATAAAGAGTAAAAGCTGTACTTTTCAAAGTATACCAGTCCTTGACCATATCCCATTGGTAAGGAAGAATATGCATAAACCAATACAGTTTCAACGCTAATTAAAAACAGATTTTCTAGACATTTATGGCTTATGAGCACCAAGATCCCCGTATGAACTGAAGCAGTAACAGCACAATAAAATGATGTCTTTAAATGCTGTTCCTTTTGTTGTTGTTGCATTGTTGTTGTTGTTCTCTAGGACAGAAAGAGTATTCAAAACTGTTGCATTTTAAAACACTGGTTATTTTTTAGTTTCAGTTTTTCATAACTAAATCGCCTAATAGGAAGAGCCTGGAAGGTGGCCCATGAGACTCACAATGCCTCCAGCCCTGAAGGTCAGAGCCCATCTGCTCTGCCAGATCCTTCTGCCTCGGGTGGCTTTCGAAGCTTAAGCAATCGAGGAACACTTTGAAAATTTCATGGGATTTATGGGACTCTGGTCTATGTTCTCTTCCACCACCAGGTTAATTTTTAGTGATTTCCTTTGTTTTTAAATGGATGTTTTTTTGAGGGCCCTTCCAGAAATCCATGGAAATAGTAAAATCAAAAGGATTTTTCCATGAGCTTTTTGAAGCTCCCTCCTATTAGATCGTGTCATTCTCTGTAAAGAGACATAGGATGGGTATCAGCTGAATACAAAACAACCTCAAGGATGATCGTGGGTCCACACGAGCACATTCAAAATGCGCGAACAAGCAAACAATCAAAATAACTGGCAACTGAGGAAAAAGCAAGAAGGTAGCCTTATTTGTGCTGCTGCTGTTAAGTGGCATTCTGGGCTTGTTTGGCTGGAAATGATCCTTGGGGCACATGGAAATGTTGTGGTTAGTGGCCTTCGGGTTGGGTTTTCAAGGCTGGGTTTTCAAGTTCTTTTCAAAGAACTAAGAATGGCAAGCCTGTCTTTGGAGACAACTCTGGACGGCCTCCAACCACCAACCTTATAACTAGTAGCCAGTGCTTCACCACTCACACCACACATGGACCTAAATTGAAAGAATGAGTCCTTTCAATGCTGACAAGACCATTTGAAATGATTTAAGGAGTCCTGGTGGTGCCCTGGGTTAGATGCTGGGCTGCAGCTAACTAGAAGGACAGTCGTTCAAATGCATTAGTCACTCTGTGTATACTGCCATAAGATTTACAGTCATGGAAACCCTAAGGCTATTAGAAAACGCAAATGTTTCATAATATATAATTACATATTGTTTTGTGACTAATCACTATGCTTTAATTATGTTCAATGTGTAACTATGAAAATACATCAAATAGGGCTGATGCCAGAGGAGAAAAGGTGGAAGAAACTTGGAAAGGACAAATTGTACTTATTCACAATTTTGTGTCCCCAATGTGGGCTCTTCTTACAGCTTTACCAAAAAGAGTATTATCCACTCTTATAACACTGATACTGCTTCAGTTCTTACTAAAAATAAGGGAGGGGTGAGGGACCATTTCACTTTTGGATAGGTACTTGAAAATCTGGAAAGGCATATGTTTTTATTTTAATCTACAAATTGAAAAGTCAATTTCAACAGGCAATGTTTGCCATCTTTGAAAGCTTTAGCAACTAATTAAAAATGAATCTTAACATTTCTCCCAAACCTGTGACTCAAATGAAAACAAAATCACGGATGAAATGACCTCTGGGAAGATACACACAATAAGATTTAACAATAGCAAGTCACGATAGACCTTTCTGATTTCTGGTAGCCCACTAAGCACCATTCAGTCATGCGCTGTTATGCCCGCCAACTCTGGCCACTAAGCGAAAAATATTTTAAAGTGTTTTATGAAAGTTCCAGGATCATTACCTCAAAATCTAGGACAAGGAAATTAAAAGAAATACATTTCAATGTCATTCTCTGAAATGAAATAATGCTTTATGTTTAGTGTTTGGTCACAGCCGATTGCTTGTGTAGAAGGGCATCTTTGGAAACTTTCTTTGAGGGCAAGCAAGTTAACTAATAATGTCTCCCTAAGCTTGACACTATCTTCAATGATAACTCACTATTTAATAAATGAATGCTATCCTCTCATATTTTATAACTGATGTTATCCCTGATTTTCCTAAGGATCAAAAGAGTGCATTACATGCAGGGGGCGGGGCGCTAATGTTCTTTCTTGGTATTGGTCACATGCCCTTGACAAACTGGAATGTTCTCTTCTGAAACCTTGCCGAAAACCTTGAGGCTGTTTAGTGGCTGTCTACACACCATGGCTATTTTAAGCCACATACGTGGTGCAAGGTAGAGCCAAACTCACAGCCCCCTGGTTATGCATGAAATGAAAACACAATTAAATTCAGAGAGTTATAAAAATAAAACCACAAGCAGGCATTGTAATATCCTCTTCCCCTTTACATCTTCTGCCCATTCGGAACAAAGATTTATGTTTAAGTCCTAAACATAAAATCCACCTTCTCTCAGCCCTTTTCTTATTTAAGGCAAGGGGTGAGTAGCAAGTGGGTGAAGGGCGATTCCAAAGGAATGCAGAGATAATGGGCCTGCATAATGGAATAAACTAGAAAATAGGCCCTAAACAGAGAGAGAGTTCAGTGTCATGCTCTTCTGAAGAGTAAAAGGCAGGAAACCCACACGATGGCATGCCTGCCGTCCCTCAGCCCCCTTCTCCACTCTAGTTCTTTAAAGAAAGCCAAAGGAACCTCCCTGCCACGAGAGCTGCTGCTGGCTCAAACTGCTGACCTTGTGGTTCGCAGCCTGCTACACAGCCTACTCTGCCACCTCTCTCAGAAAACTCACTGCCATCGAGTCCATGCTGACTCACAGTGACCCCCTGTGGCTTTCCGAGAATGTAATGGTTTACAGAAGTAGAAAGCCCAGTCTTTCTCCCTCAAAACCGCTGAAGGTTTCAAACTGTGACCATACAGGTCAAAGTCCAGCATGTAACTACTACACCCCCAGGGTTCCTCTACTATGCTACCAGGGTCCCTTTTTCAAAAAATATGCTAGCGGAAGAGACTACATTCCAAACCCACTGCCATCTAAGTAGATTCTGACTCACAGTGACCCCTACAGGAAGGGCAGAGTAGAACTGCTCCTTTGGGATTTCCAGACTAATCTTTAAAGGAGCAGAAAGTTTCATCTCCCTTCGGTGGAGAGGCTGGTGGACCTCGCAGTCAGTAGCCCAGTGCTTAGCCCATTACACTACCGGGGCTCCTCAGAAGCTCCATCGGGTGCCAAAAATCCCAGCCTAACTTGCCACTGACCGTTACCTTCCTCCGGGGTTCAGTTTCTTCATCCGGAAAATGGGGAGAATGTCCATCCCTATCCACTCCAAGAGAAAGAGAGTGAAAATGACCTTTGTGTGGGGTGCTTGGCCCTGCTCTAATGAAGAGGATGTCCTAAACTCAGATGAATGTAACTGCCATTCCTTCACTTAGATGGCCCCTGAAAAAAATCTTCAAAATTAATTTTAGGAGTACCAGATTTGGGATCAGCTAACTAGAAAAAAATTTTTAGCTATATTTTCCTGACACGCTTTTGATAAATTTAGTAAAAGTCAGTACCATTGTACTTTCGAAATGTAAGGGCAGTGCTGTCATTTTTAACTTCATCAGGCATGTCCTTGTGTGACACAGACAAGCAAAACTAGCGCGAGTGCCAAGAGATCCTGAAGACCAAACTTTTTTTTTGTTTTAAGGAGGAAAAATCTCTTTCATCTAATTGTACATCAGTGCATATTAGACACAGTCCTGTTATGTTGTCGGACCTATTCGCATGTGCCTTGATCTCTGTATCTAGACTCACCGAGACATGATAAGCATGTGCTTTGTTTCTGCACTTTCTCATCAGGTTCCTCTACCAATAAAGGAAGCCCTCCGACAAGAGGGCCATCGGGTCCACTCAAACGAGCAATCAAGCAGACGAACGTGCTCCTTAAGTCCTTTTAAAATTAAAACCCAACATCAAAGTAAATTATTTTAACCAACAGCTTTGGAACTTATCTTTCTGAAAAACTCTCCAACACATTTCATTTAAGAGTGAAGAACAGATATCAGTTTGGATTCCCAAAACGCATGTAGAGAGATTCTTTAAATGAAAACATTTACAGTGATTTTTAAAAATAAAACTGAAATCCTTATAATTAAGCATACAGTACATTTCCCACCCCACCCCCAAAGGGTTTTAACTTGTATCTTTTTGACCCCCCACCTCCCACCCCTACCCCCACCATGTGACAAGGTCCTAAGAAATGTGATTGTTTTACGTACCATCTGCAGACAGGTGGGCATGCCTGGAAAAGGCTTTATCTATTTCTAGAAAAGCCATAGTCAACACAGTTTCCAAGTTCTTCTCCTTAGAAAGCCGATCCCTTGGTGGGGGAGAAAGAATCAATCATTTTATGATATGTTTTCTGTCTTCCTCATAGCTGCAAGAGTCGGAATGGACTCAATAGAATGGGTTTAGGGTTTTTTGGTTTTGTTTTTTTCTCATAGTCACTCTTACTTAGAGGCGTAGTTATTAAACAATCTGACAATCTTGGCTCTTCTTCAGGGATCCACTGACAAAAGGCTTGTTCGTTAAGCAGTTATGTGTTCATTAAGTCAGCTGTCTTGGAATCATGGAGAACGCACAAGAGAGCTAAGTACCACTGGACTGACACAGTCAGCCACAATGGGCTCGAACAATTGTGAGGACCAGGCAGTGTTTAGTCTGTTGTGCTTAAGGCCGCTAAGGGTCAGAACCAATTTGATGGCACCTACCTAACAGCGACAACAATAACTGTGCACCCCACCCCTATGGCCAGCTGTGGATTGCGCTGCTACAATCCATCGTGTTCTCACTGGCTGATTCAGAAGTGCAGAGTATATTGCCAGCCCTTTCTTCTGAGTCTGTCTTGGTCTGGCAGAAACCAGGCCAGCAAAGCACCAAGCGGTGACAGACAACGGTGGCTGCACATTGTGGGCACAGATTGTCTTAAGGTACACTCTGCCACTTGGGAGCCCGAGAATTCTGAGCAAGAGAGTATACCTTAAGATGCGCTGCTCCCCCAGGCTGCTAACTTATAAGGTTAGTGGTTCGAACCCACCAGATGCTCAGTAGAAGGCTTGGCTAGCTGCTCACATAAAAATGTCAGCCTAAGAGACTCTCTGGGGCCCAGTTGTTGCTATGCATTGGACTCGGCTCCACCGCCCACCACCACTACCTAACCTTGTCCAGGAAGGCCAGAAAGGCTCCCCTGGTCAACTCTGCCCGCGTCACCCCTCTGTGATGATAACGCCAGGAAATACACTGTTCAAAGTTAAACCCTGCCTGGCACGCACGCCTCCCACACTAGAGCCAGTCTTCACAAAGGCAAGGACTCAAAGCTGCTCACACCACTGGAAGAACAATGGCCATTGATTTACTGAAACACCGAGTGCCAAGCAGAGACAAGAGGAACTGCTCCTTATACGTTCTCTCGTGTACTTTATGTTGATTTGCTTAAAATAGTCACAACTCATCAAACACTAGGAATTCAGGCCCGTACTTTCACCCGTGGAATTGTTGCAAAGGCACATTTCTGAAATGGTCTCTGCTCATTAAAGCAGTGGCCAGCAGGAAGGGTCAGTAAAATCGGTGAGTGGGCATCTCTTAGCTACCTCTCTTTCAGGGACAGCCATGCTTGGAAGTCCCGAAGTTGGACGCTGACAACCTAAGCATAAAGCAGACGGCAAAGAGTGGAAGTCATGGTACGTACATAATGCATTTCTCCATGTGGGTGTGGCAGAAATCCGCGGCGCCCGGTCCCCCGTGCCCATCGAACACTGCGAAGTACAGCACCTCCTCTGTTAACTGAGCCATGTCAAAACGGTCTTCGTTCTCTCTCCGTTTGCCAATCTGCGAGGCGCAGCCCACCTTTCCCAAGCTGATTTTGGGGATGGGCTTGCCATACTTAATGCTGGGTGGCAGCAGAATTGGCTCATCAATGCGGTTATCCCAGATCCCAAAACTGTCCCAGGTGGCTGGCCGCCCGCTGCCATCCGGGTCAAAGCGGGACCATCTGCGCTCGGAGGTGGAACCGTGGCGGGCCGGCGCGGCACGCCGGTCCTCCTGCAGCAGGCGGGAGCTGAGCAGCACCCGCCTTCTCACCTGGTGACGGCCATGTCTAGCCAGAGTAATTAAGGCAGCTGTTGACATAACGCAGCTCCAGGGGGCTTAGCAATGAGGGAAAGGCCAGAGGAACAGGAGTGTGCTGTCTTCAAGAGATGAAACTGGGTAAAAGGAAAAGAGAGGGAGGCTCCATTAGTCATTTTTAATAGAACACATCGCTGTTGGTTGCCACCGAAGGGATCCCAACTCATGACAGCCCCATATGTGCAGGCTGGAACTGTGCTCCACAGAGTGGCCAAGGCTGTCACTTTTCGAAGCACACTTCCAGGTCTGGCACGGGCACCTCAAAGTAGGTTTGAACTACAACCTTTTAACTAGTAGTCACTGCCTGGGCGTAGGACTGCATATCAGATAGTTACATGACGATTCATAACAGCAGCAAATGACAGTGATGAAGTAGCAACAAAAATAATTTTATGGTTGGGGGTCACCGCAACATGAGGAACTGTACTAAAGGGTCTCAGCATTAGGAAGATTGAGAACCACTGCCCTAAACCCCTCCTATAGCCTGTCTGACAGATAAGCAAGAAATGTGGTAAATCTTAACAGACTCTATCTCATCTGCAGGTGTCCTCTCCTGACCCCCTCCCAATGTCCTGCCTACCGGCTAAACAAAGAATGTAACTACTGAATGTTCCCTCCCAATCCAGCCCCTGGTTTAACTGTTGCATAACGCCTGTCTACCACCCTTGATGGGAGCACTACCCTCCTCTGCTTGACCCGGCTCCCTGTAATAAAAGGCTGATCCTTCCATTTTAATAAAGTGGTGGGATTTGATCTTGCTTCGGTAGTACAAGTGCACCTCCACTTCCTGACTTTACTCAAAAGCTCATCCTTAAAGCCTATCCAAGCATTCCAGAGTATGGTCAGGGGGATTCCTTGGCACTGACAACACACTGTAATACCCGGATGGGTCGGGGAGAGCTCTGTTTCTGGTCACTTTCGACTCAAAGTTGTAAGCAGATATTCCTCTCCATCTCCATCTCCCAGCGGGGGGAGAGCTCGGTCTCCAGCAGTAGTGCACTCAAAGTTGTAAGCAGTTATTCATCTCCAGCATTCCACGTTCAGTTGCAGTAAGAACTAAAACCAACTTGAGAAGATGATAGATTTGAGAACAACAGGAAAGGTTGGGTAGTCTTAGCTGTTAGATGCAAAGGAGTGGCTCCCAACTTACTGTCACACCATGCACCATCCAGTCCAACCATTGTGAAATGGAACGTTTCCATTGGCCTAGTCAAGGGTGACATTCTTTCCACTGACAGGTTTGAATTGAGGAAGCTTGGTGGAACAATGGTGCAGTGCTCAGCTGCGAAATGAACCCACTAGCTACTCCACAGGAGAAAAGAGATCCTGTCTATGAAACCCTGTGGGGCAATTCTCCCCCGGCCAGCCAATTGGAAAAGCTCTATGTCCATGCCCACTCTAGATAACAGAACCTGGGCTTATCTAACAGTGTAGCATGTAAACGAAATGATGCTGAAGATTATTCAAAGGTGGTTATAGCAATATATCAAATAATAACTGCCGGAAATTTAAGCTGGATTTAGAAGGCTATGGAATGAGGAGTAAGATCACTGTTGATACCAGATAAAGATTGGCTGAAAGCAGTGAATACCAGAAAGATATCTACCTATGTTTCATTTTATCCGACTTCCTCTCTGTATTTGTCACCATTCCTTCTTTCCAGACCCATCAGAACTTTGTGTAAATGCTGCCTTTTGATTGCAAATGGTTGATTATTTTGAGGTGCAGTCTCCTCCCTAGTATGGTAGTTCCCCTTAAAGACCTGCCTGAAAACCGAGCCCCAGGGTGGTTTCATTTGCAGACCTGGAGGCCACAGTCTCCAGTGTTCTCCCAATCTCCATTTCACCACCAAACCTTCCATGGTCTCTTGTATGATTTTGAGATTGTTCTACATTTTTCTCTTACTCTGTCTAGGACCTTCTCCTGTGGCCCTTTTCAGCACATATGGTGGAGGTAGCTGGGCACCATGCAGCCCATTTGGTTTCAGGGTTGTTGAGACTGGTCTTAGAGTAAGCCATTCATCTAGTGAACTAATTGTTTCTCTGTATCTTTGATA